ATCTAAAACCTGCAGGGACACCGGCCCTCGAGGCCTGGAGTTGCCCACCCCTGGCCTAAAGGTATGTGTGCACCACATGTTGCATCACTACAGACTGCAGAGCAGAAACAGGCCTCCGGCCAGCTCTGATGGAAGCTCACCGAATGAATTCATTCATTTTAGCCACATGTCAGAGTTTGTGAACTCCACCTGAATCTCTGGCCGTTAAAAGAAAATGAAAGTTTAAAGAAAATTAAATAGAAGACGTGTGAGGCTGCAGGCAAAGAGAGAGAGGAAAATGCAAAGGTGTCAGTTTTTAGTCCATAACTTGTACCTGATTCAGTAAAATGTCACCGGCTGAATACATTAGGCTGTGAGGCGGGAGGCTCAGAGAGTGTGGCCTTTTATTAACACTGAGAAATCCCACGGTTCACTTCAGGCTGTTAGGGAGGAAAATGACATCTTTGTCTGCGCTTCATGAAAAATTAATCAGCTCGTTTTCAAAGAATCGCAGAGAAGGAGACATTTATCTGAGCCCGGTGACAGCATTTACATTTCCAGTTTACCTTTTGGGGGATTTTCGTTAATGCAACAAAAAAGGCGAGAGGAAGAGGAGAACCGAGCTGGACAGTCAGCAGCTACACCTCCAGGATTCGCTCAGCAAATAAATATCTGCGGTCTTTGGACATTCTGCACACAGCTCTTAAAAACAAACCAAAAAACGTGTTTATTTGCGTGCATTCTTCGCCGCCTTCCCTTTTTCTGATGATGACATCTCAAATTACTCAAAAGGAGAAAGCTGGGTTGGACGCAGCAGTGGCGTTTCCCAGAAGATCTTGATTCACAGCGAGCTGTCAGAAGGATCAGAGCTCCATCTCTGCACAGACGCTGTCACTCAGCAGGAAGCTTCTGAAAATCTGCCAAAAACGTCACATCACATCCTGTTCTGACAAACTCCGAGAAGCGAATTCATCTGCAAAGAAACCGAAAGACCTGCGGCTGAAACTCAATAATAATTATCACGGTGGAAGAAATCGCCCTGTACAGTTAAAAGGATCAGTCGGCTGCAGGATGATTGATTCTTTAACCGTTCGTGTGATGGACAAAACAATTATTCAGTCAATAAAATCTGGGAAGCCACCGGCCGATGTGCAGAAACAGCCACAGTTTCAGACTTTTCACTGCAGACGGCGAAATCTGGGCCAGGACTTCCACTTCTGCTGGTCACTTGCAGAAAGCTCGCACCCACACGCCACTAAAGCCTTCAAACTCAGAGTTCACCAGAAAGCTGCCGATTCTGCACATTCACATGCAGATCTCCGTTTCCTCAGATTGAATTATTCAAGACTTCACCAGCCACGACATAAAGCCTTAAGCACTGCCCTAAACTGCACCAGAGCCCTGTGGAAAACTGATAGTCACGCAGTGCTAGCTCCAAACAGCACTCAGACCTCAGATCTGCTTTAAACCACGTGAACTTAGGTGGCCCACGTTTCCGAGAGATGAATTCTGGGAAACGGCCCTACAGATCCAGAAGACTGCTCACGCTCAGATTCACACTTCTGTCAGTTAAACCTGTTGCCTTTGGGTCGAAATACAGGCGATAAATCACAGAGAAGGAACACTGGAGTCCTTTTCAAATATCAGAGCTGAGAGGAAGCGCTTCTGCTGAGCCACGGACAGAACGAGCTTTCAGGAAAGAAAGAAAGAGGGAAGAGTGAGCGCTTCAGAATAACAGACTCACTGCCGAAGTCTCACACAGGACTCTTATCAGGACCAGATGTGAGTGAAGCAAGAGCGATTTTAACATCAGCCCAAGCTCGCCAAAGGGTTTCACTTCTCGATTCAATGAAATGTGACACTGAAGTAACTTTCAATACGTTCTGCCATGAGATGAATACACTTACAAACCAATGAAGCAGCTCGCTTTTGCACGAGCGCGCCCCTTCGAAATCTAAAAAATGAAACGAGCTGAAGCCTTTCACTTTTTTACCCAACGTGCCAAACAGGTCAGCGAGCAGCTGGACGTTTGCAGCCAAAGCAAGAGCTTCAATTATCTGCTGATTAATTAATTAGACAGAAATGATGCGTTTAATGTTTCCTGGGCTGTTTACAGGCGACGAGATGCCCACAGAGCTGACTGGCATGTGCCCTCCTGGCAGCTGGAGCAGCGCATAATGAAAGAAAACGGAAACAACCCTAAATCTGCATCAAAACTACAGCAGAGACAACAATGCACGAGCACTGCAGAGCAGCTGAGGTCAGCCTGGTGTGTGTGTGTGTGTGTAATCTGCAGTGTGTTGGGATGGACAGCTTGTTATCTGGGCTGGACTGCAGAGCTTAATATTCAGCCAGCAGCCAGATTAGCTGAGGACAGCCCGTCAGTCTGCAGCTGCACGACGAGCGCGGGGTTGTGTGTTTCAGCGGGAGTGTCTGTCTCTGTGAGGACCGTGTCCAGGCTGCAGACCTGCAGGGTGAGGGTGTTTGCGACATTCGTTTCCCAGCCCTTCTTCTCCAAAATCAGATCCAGCAGCAAAATGAAAGCGGTGCTCTTAAACTCAGACTGGGGAGAAGTCAGTCAAGCTTCTATTTTCTCCAAGTCTGACAAATAAAGTTATTATTATTATTATTAAAACATGCCACATTTGTGCCACACCCAGAAGGTCTCCTGCAAAAACTACAGACCACTAAGAGCCCCAGCTATCCCAGGATGCACTGCAGCGATGCGATAGGTCAGCGTCCGAGTGAGAGGTCGCCTCCTCTTTTATCTCAATCACAACTATTCACCGCGCTGCTCAATCTAGCGTCCGCCCAGCAGGCTTTAAAATTCATTCTCAAGTTCACACCTGTGCCCTGATGGTGCTCAGAACAGAGGGAATTCTGGGAAATGTAGGAACTGTTGGTAGGGTTTGAGCAGAGAGGCAGGCTGAGAGAAAAAGCAGAGGTTATTTTTTTTGCTTTGTGCTGCCATCGTCATCACTGTGAGCATCCAGGTGTCGACACAGCTTTACAGGAACTTTGTGCCCATGAGCAAGGCACTCATCCTCCAGGTATATGACCCATTATCCTCATACTTCCTCAGAGAGCATTTTCATGCAGTGTATAAAGGGGATGTTTGTTCCATCACCTGAAGCACTTTGAGGATGCTTCCCACCACCTGATGACAGTTAGGGGGGAAACAAGAGGGTGTACTGCCTTGCTCAAGGGCTCTTCAGCAGGATACGAGGTCCCTGTGAAGCTCTGCCTTCACCTGAGTGCTGACAACAACGTTTTCTGCCACCACTCCCCCGAGGCGAGAGGCTTCAAAGCATGGAGGAGGGATGATGCGTGGAAATTGAAAAATTAGGTCAAAGTCTGCAGGACGCGGGGAAGCTTTGCATCCGCCGCCACCGCAGACTCTCGCGCCATCAACAAAGCATGTAAATATTGCAGCGGGGCATCTGACCCCGTTTCCCAGAGACACACTTGTTTACACTGGAGGAACTCCGAGTTGGCGGTTTATATGTGCAACCTTCCCCGCCCCATCCATCCCTCCTCTTCATCACCACTACTTGTTTCATCTTTTCAGCGTTCACAGCAGCAGCGGTGGAAACATTAAAATGCGATGTGTGCATTCAGAGTCAGCTGTTACAATCTCTTCCCCTCCCTCCCTCTTCCTCTGTGCCGTCTTCTTTCTCCATACATGGCCGAGCCTCACAAAGCCTCGGAGAGAAGCAGGGAAAACACTGCTCGCAGGAAGCTGAAATATGACACTATGATACTCTCCAGGCTGAGAGTGAGTCTGCAGCAATGTGACATATCAATCTGAAGTAGAAGAAGAACAAGGAGGAAGGAGGGGGAGAAAGAGAGGGAGGTGGTGGTGAGGGGGGCTAATGAGAAAATCAATACCCAAGCTGCATTTCAGTATCTTGCAAAACAACCCGATATAGCATGCTGTAGTGTTATTGGGGGGGCGCAGGAATATAATGGGAATCATTCATCGCCTCTCTGGAGAAAAGGCTGCCTGGCTGCGGTGTGTCATGTGAAAAGTGTGTCTCCTAACAGCTGCATGCTGCCTGTGCACCATCTAAGCAGCGTGCAGGGCTCTGCTCAACGGGATTTTATAACAAAACCTCTCTGACAACAACTTTCCTACTGACAAACACAAACCTCCACAGAATTCCCGGGATATCCCCACAGCAGGCTGCTGTGTGCCTCCTGCGCTCCAGTGAGGCTTCAAAGTGCACTTTATGGGTTGTTTATCAGCCGTGATGGAAGGATTCATGCACAGATCAACAGATTAGGGGTAAAAATGACACATATTCTTTGATTTTTATCAGGAATTAGCAGAGCAGCGTGGATGTGTGTGGATTTTGGAGACGTCACCTGACTCTGGGGAATTATTGTAGGGAATTTTTGAAAACCTGAGCAGACAAAATAAAGCAGTTAAGTGTTAAAAGGTGATGTACAGCTGGATTCAAAGGTGAATGCTGGCTGTAAAGTGGCTGTGTTTGGACTCTGGGACACTATGTAGAGTAAGGATTGATGAACTCCTTCAGATAATCAACAGTCTATGAATAATGAGGAGCCCTGCAGGCTTCACTGCAACAATACCGTGGAGCTCTGGTGCACAGCAGCCACTCCAGTTCACCCAGAGCACTTTATGGGATGTTTATCTATTATCTGTATTATTCCCATGATACCTGGCGTCAGGTGACGTTGTGTGTCAGTGTGGGGGAGTGAACCTGCAATGATCTCCTTTCAATCCAAGAACCCCCTAACAGCACTGTAGTCTGTCCACAGCCAGTGACAGCTCTGTTTCCATTTCACTGCCACATCTCCTGCATCCAAATCCAGATCAGTTAAAGCAGTCATTGTGGCAGCGTGTGTGCGTGTGAACAGACATGCACTTGAACTTGTTGGAGCTCAGCACTTTATCTCCTAGCAGTTCAAACTCAGCAAGGACAAACAGTCCCAGAGCAACAACAGCAGCAGAGCCCCGGCAGAGCCGCCGAGCTCCGCGGTGAAACCCAAGTACTCACCCTCGGATAACTCCAGCTCCAGCTCGGCCAGTTTGGCCCGCACCTCCGCAGGAAGCGGCACCGGGTCCCGGTCCGCCATTCCGCCGTTCCAAACCGACTTAAATATCTGTTTTCCGGCTGTTTCTCCCTGTTTCCAGTCCCCACGCTGCTCCACAAACCACAAAAATCCAAAGTCAGTCACACCGAGTCCGTCAGCGTCGCTCCGTGTGCGGCAGCGGCTCTGCGCGTTCTCCGCAAACCAGCGTCAAGCTACAGCTAACACTGCAGAGCTGCTACCGGAACCTGTATTTTCAAAATAAGATCACAGCGTTAAGACCAATGACTGTATTAAACAACCGTTTTGCCCAGTCCGCTGCCTGTGGCTCTCACACCCTCCAAATTTAAACCTGAGTAAATCAGACTCACAGGCTGGCTTTAACTAAAAGTTACGAGCTAATAAATTATAGATTAAAAAATAAATCAATGTTACTTTTGTGATACTTGGATTTTTATTTTTGTTTTAATTTAATTTCCAGAATAAAGTATGTTATAAAATGTTATATGACTATAAAAGCAGGTTAATATTTTTAGTTACTTGTTTCCTTATTTTAAATAAAAATAGGTAAAGCAAGAGCAATCCAGGCTAAAAAAAAATCTGAATTTAGTTAAAACACTCAAAGAAAGGCGTCAGGATGATTATGTAATTATTTTTAACTGAGACATTGAAATGCATTTTATTTACTGACTGATTTTATAGATATATATATTTTGGAGATTTTGACTGTTTATTTTGAACATTCTCCTTTTTCTACGGTTTGTTCTCACTGCTTACCTCGTTTATACTGACAAGTTACGGTTCACCAGTGTGTGTCTGTTAAAAGTAAAGAATATGATGCATTGCTAAAAAATATCGGATGTATGTTGATAGCTAGTAAGAGTAAATTATTTTTGAAACAACTTTGGGAGATGAATAAATTCAAAAGATCCAAACCCCAGTGCTGTGCTTTTATTTTGAATGCAGATTTTGTTCTCTTCCTGTCTCACACCTCTTAATTATTGCCGCCTTCACGCGCCTCACATACACAATTTCCCTTTAGGTGATCCTAAAGATCCACGACTGAACTCACAGGAATCAATATTTTTAATCCGATCGATTTTCAGTCAAAGTTTCAGGAGTTAAAATGAAAACAAAGTGCTGCTTAATATTTTCACACCATGAACAACACACCGGTAGAGGGCGCCACATTCACTTTCTCTCTCACAAACACACACACAGACACACACAATCTGTTAACCTGACTCTGTCATTTATGTTAATTGATAAGATGGATAAATGTCAGCTGTAGTTCATGTGCTTTTGAACAAGTAGTCTGCGAGGCTGCGATGCAGAAAAGAGATCAAAGAAGGGTTAATTAGAAAGATTATCACAGCTGAAACACGTTTTGATCGTTTGTTTTCTGTTTTATCTCAGTGAAATTTAATCACTCATTCACTCATTTAAAGTCTGCTAGGTGAATGTTTATTTAGGTGCAGCAGAGATATCTCAGTGATATCCCACTCAATCAGAAAATTACATATAGGTAAAAGACGGCAGATGGAGCTTAATGGTACATTATATTCAAAAGTACTCAGTCACCCAACCGAACTGTTAACTTCAGGTGGAAAAGTGAAAAGTGGAATTCAGTGGAAGCAACTCTAAGTGCTAGGTCACGTAAAGTCACAGAGTGGGATCAGCGGATGCTGAGGCATATAGTGCGCACAGGTCACCAACTTACTGTAATGTTAGGTGTTCTCCAGAGGGACCAATTACACGTCTACATCCGGCAATCCGATGGAAGAGTCTGGGTTTGGTAGATGCCAGGGGAACGGGACTTGTCTGACTGAATAATCGGAGGATTGTGATGTGGAGCTGTTTTTAGGAGTTGGGCTCCGCCTTAGTTCCAGCATATCGAGACTTGTTGGATAATCTCATGCTCCCAACTTTGAGGGAACAGTTTGGGGATGGCCACTTCCTGTTCCAATATGGCTGCACACCAGTGCACAAAGCAAGTTCCATAAAGGCGTTGATGATCGAGTTTGGTGTAGAACAACTTCAGTCCTGGCCTTGTTTTGTGATATAGATCACCTAATAAGTTTATGTTTCAGCTTCGATGACAGAAATTCAGATTATTATTCGGTTACTTTGCAGAAATTTGCAGGTATCAGTGTCTGTGCTTTGAACCCAAGCCCATTATGGATGCAGCACGCAAAACCAGCAAGATAGAGTAATCCCATCCACATGAGGTCACTTCCAGCTTAACAAAAAAAAAAACAGCAATGCAGTGGCCAAAATGCTGAAACTGAGGCTTCAAAAGTCACAGTCTATGGTTTTTCCTCTGTAATTTTCATTAGTTCCACCTGTGTTCAATGACCTAATCACCCTCCACAGTATATAAATACCCTGTTTTCTTCAGTCACCTGACAAATTGTCGTTTCTACTTGCAGTGAAAGTTTTCAGAAATTTCTCATGCTCCAGTTTGTCCTTCATCATGCTCTCTCCTGCTTCACGGATGCTCGACTGCCCACCTGACTGTGACCTCAGACTGATTACAGGTTTAGATTTTGGACTTTACCCTGGTCTCCTGTGGCCTGTGTTTGGATCCTTTACTCTGTGAATCATTAAACCATCTGAGGGGACTTCTCTGTGACCTCAGGACATTTCCCTCATGGGTTTATGGTCTCAGTCGCTAGTTCCAAACTTTACTGGATACAACATGATGTGCACTTTTCAAATGATGGGAACCTCGACATGCATAATGCTGGAGCGCCTCTAGTGGATACAATAAACTCTGGTGGTCACAGCCACGCCCACATCCGACGTGTTCTCAGTATATCCAGCCTTTATTTTTCATGTCTGTTTAAATAAAGGATTTATATACAGCCTGTAAGCTACATCTTTTATATACAGTCTATGTTATCCACTAATTAGTGCATCATCACTGCATGATATCCATACAACAAATGTATAAGACATGGATGTAAGCAAATATTTTATTTTGTAGTGAGTTCAGTCCTTCCTAATCACATTTATCTACCTGCAGGCTGACTTGGACCATGCCAATGTTGGCATCCAGTCATGAACATCAGACTAAACAAATTTAGTATGAGCAATAAAAATATCTGGAAATATTTTTAGTAGTTTGTGTGTAATAACCATGAATCACAGCTGGATAATAAATAAATAAAGTGCTTGTTTCTTTGTGATCATCCTCATCCGACAGGACAGAGCTGAGAAAAGAAGGAGGTCCTCTGTGAGCATGCTGCCATCTTGTGGCTTTCCGCTCTCATCTGTACAAAGACGCAGAGGAACTTCCTAAAGCCCAGATGCTTTTAACTCACAGTATGTGGACATTTATTTAACCAATCAAAGGCAGCTTGTTTTAAACTCGTTATGGATGCTCCTCACAGCCGTGTCCAGAAGTAGAGCTCAAAATAAAAAAGAAGACCAACAACGGAGACCAGAAACAGGGTTTGTTTTCATTTTTAATGGAACAAAGCATCCAGGTGATACTTTATTCAGTCATCATTAATGGAGTGACACAGTGTCACATCTTTTTGTAAATAACTTCAAAATATTTCAGTTACTTTGTGAAAATCTAAACATTTCTTCTGTTTTAAAGCTCCTAAGAACTTCTCTGCTGCTGTCAGTGTTATAATAATATAACAGACGGTAGAATTAACTGAGCAGTTTAAAAGTTACACGACATTCAGTTATTTAAAAATATTATTTATGTGGAGATTATAACCCGCTATGTAGCGTTTCTTCCTGCTGGACTTTGGTCATGGATTTCAGGCAAAGGGACCCAAATACAGACTCACGGGCAGGCAGATGTTAAAAAAGTTTATTCAGAATTAACTCCATGAAATTAAGACTCAAACCTAAACCATAAAACTTCACAACACATGGGGATGACGACAAACGCTGAGACAAAAATGGGAAGACCGCAGTGGATCTAGAGAAAAGGGTAAGCGGGGACACAGGAGGGTAACGAGACCCAGGTGAAGATGATCAAAGACACTGAGACGGGGGAGGGAAGCAAAACTAAACACCAGACACTAGAGACGAGTAGCTAACAGGAAGTGAGAAGTTAACCAACCACAGGGGGATAAGATGGGAACATGCTGGTCGGTACAGCCCATCCTGTCAAACTCAACTCCTCAGTCTTTATTCATGACTGCACGCACTTTTCACCTTATTGGCTTAATAAAGGAGCTCAGTTGGCCGCGTGGTTCGAAGTCTAGATAAGATTAGTTCAAGAAATACAACATCTTAAGTGTTTTCAATTGAAAGACAAGTGTTGTTTGTTTATATTATTAGTATAATTTCCATTGCTATGCAGATAACACCCAATTTACCTGTGACATAAAGACGACAAATTAAACTAAAGCCACTTCTTAAAGACCTTCATGCAGTGGTGCCACCAAAGGGGGCTCCGGCCACCCCAAAAAAATTTGCTGCCCCCTCCCCCACCGCTGAGAATCATTAAAGCGATGGTTGGGATTTCCATGGATTTCAAAACCTTATTTGGTTAAACAGATACTCTCGATGGCATTAGCTCCAGTCATTTTACACCAGGATATGTTCGTCACATCAAACAACGTATCACTGTTTTATCACAATATCGCCAAAATTGGAAACATCCTCCTTTCAGAGTAACGCTTGAGAACGACTCTGTGCCTTTCACACTTCTTTGCTACTGCGAATTATTACGATCAGGCTTTTCTAAAAGTTCTCCCAAAAGCCAAAACTCGGCAGCGACAAAGAGATATTTTCTTTCTATCCTGGATTGCATTGTTCAAACAGCTGATTCTGAGTGATGCATATTGATGCTTATAACAATATAACAGTGCCACTTTGAACTTTACATCCTGAAGGCAATCAGATTTTTTTTGCAAGGTATTGCTTAAAAAAGGTTTTTCACTTCCCCCCCCCCGCTCATGGGGAAGAACTTGGTGTAATTTTTCTCTATGTTGACTGTAGTTCCTGTAATTATGGAACAACTAACAAGAAAGGTTTGAAAAGACCTTTTGGAAAGAAAGAAAGAAAAATCACACGGCAGCTCCTCAACAGTGCCTAAATCTTTATTTTTCAGTAAGCTACATTTTTTTCTCCAAATTAGACAGTTTACATCATGACACAAGAGTAACTTAAATTATCTATAGCTGACATGTACGCTTGATTCCAGTCTCGATGGAAGAAAAGACCCAAACAAAAAAAAAATTAACAAAAACAAACAAAAAAACAAAACAAAAAAAATAGAGAGAAGCCCTCTTGATCGCAAACCTCCATTCCACGTCTGTTAAAGGTGTCGTTAGGCAAAATTATCTGTCCAAACCCCAACACGGTGGAGTCGTCGATTGTCCACAGCTGTTAGCGTAGCATGGTAAGAGTGTTAATGAGTTAAACCACAGTGAGTTCATAGAGTCCTTTTCCAGTCAGTTGATGTGCATTCATTGTTATACATCTTTGAAAAACAAAATGAAAACACAAAAACACAAGGGGGTCTTTTTTTTTTTTTAAATGACAAGATGCAACCCTCGTGGAGGAAAAAACAAAAAAAAAACAAACCAAAAAAGAAAAAAGAAAAAAATGGCACTGTCAAAATGGACGAACAGGAAGGAGGTCTGAGGCGACCAACAGGCTGATATGAAGTGTGACGCTCCATGCAGAAGTCCACGAGGAAAAGGGAGCTCCTTCAAAAATGCCACCGCTGAGCATCTGGATGAACGCCGGCAAGACTGAAGAGGCGCGGAGCTCGCGGTGTCTTTCCCGCCAGAATAAGAGATCCCTTTGAAAGCGGTACCATCCAGTCTGAGGTACCGCGCTTGTGGAAAGAGTCACTTTTGCATCGGCCTGGATTAGCTGGGTGGTACATTTTATTTTTTTTCCACACATGCACACATTCACAGTTCAGAGATGCCCAGTTTGTATTCTCAAAGTTCGAGGCCACCAGAGGCAGAAGACGCCTCGACCTCAGGCGAGGGATCCACCGCAAGTTACACCGCGTGAAAAACGCTCCTGCAGTCACTGGTGTCAAACTGAAGGTGTCTCCAGGCTTCCAGTAACAGGAAAATCACATCTTAAAGTAAAAAACAAAAATAAAAGCCCGAGACGGTAAGCGCTCAGCTATGTATGTACAGGTTAAACGACTGTTGTATAATGGCACGGTTATTGGTTTTCTTTGCCACATCGAACTGCAGTCCACATGTGATCAAATGGTTTTAACAGACATCTCAAACTGCGTGTTAAATGTACTGTACGTGAGAAACATCGCTCTGAACAAGGTAAACTACTCTCATTCCAGTTGAGCCTTTAACCCCCCCCAACAAACAAAAAAGCACATAGGAAAAAAACAAAACATTTGTACATTTATTTCTCAGTAGAGGAAATCTTGGAGCTGATGAACATGAACAAGAAATCACAAACATTAATCTGAAGAGAAAAAAACAAAACTGCACAGAGCAGGTCGAATGGTTTTGGGCTCCTTGGATGTCTCGCGCTCACATCGACACCTGGGCAGGAAACTTTTATCTCAAACAGCCGCAATGACTACTCCAAACAGTCGCCTTGTTTTTTAAACGAAATGCACAATCCGAGGGCCCGAGACTCGTCGTCACCTGGCGGCAGGCTGCAATAATCCCCCACCTCAAGTGCCGAGTGTTCAAGATGTGCCTCACTGGGAAGCTTCTGATGGGCGTCACACATCACATCACCTCGACTAAACCAAGAAGTGTCCACCAACAATCCCTCTTTTCAGCAAACCAGCATCCGCCCGATGGTACGTCAAAGTCGGTTTAGCTGCTGATTGGCCAGCTTCGATGGTTCAGGCTTTCTTTTTATTGATTTCTGTCTGAAAAGCTCTGGTTTTCTGTCCAGCATCTGAAAGGCTTACCAAATGAAATCAGACCAAAGGGATTACTGGACCCCAACCCAAACGCACAGAGAAATGGATAAACTGAGAATTCAACATTTGCAGAAGTTGGTCAGATTGGACTTAAACAACTCTTCCCACTCTCTGAACTTCCAGTAAACATTTCCCCTCACCATGTTTCTGACAGAAGTGGTTGAAATGATTAATAAAAGCTAAATTTTTAGATTTTTACAGGTTTCCGACTGTAGAAAAATGCATTTCTGCCAGAGACATCAGTGGAGCATGAACCACCTCCATGGTATCCTGATGGCATCACCACGACCAGCTGCTTATTATAGGCACACTG